AAGCCTAAACTGAAATCTTCACGTCATGATTTGAGACTTTCACACTAAAAATTAAGACTTACAAATCATATTTCAGTAGCGAAGTGGTAAAACGGTTTAAGTCGACTTATCTCCCAGTTGAGTTTTTGGGGAATAAGGGAGATAGCAAAATTTCCGTAATTACATTTGTTGTAGCTCTCAATCGGCTTTACAAAAAACGTTATAACAAAACTTTTGCTATTTCCCTTAAATTCCGACATATTCATTGAAAACTGGTCAATAGTTGAAATTGACTTGTACCGTTCTACCACTTCGCTACTGATTTCAAGACCATCGAATTTTTACAAAGAAAAAATATAAAATTATTTTTTACTATGTGAACATAGTAATCGAGGACCATACTCGCCACTCCAAATTTACTGTTGAATATAGTAAAAATTGCGAGTTGGTATAGTAGAAAGTGGTACACGGGGAGAAATTTTTGATAAAACCTATCCTACCGTTCTACAAAAGTTTATCATGAGTCATCGTTTCCTCATTTCCATCCCGAAATTTAGTAAAAATTAATATATGATGATCAAATTTTATTCTACGTTAGAGAAATTTTATCCTGTCGCATAATAAATTTTACCCTTCCAGTCCAATAATTTTTATGTAGATAATAACGAAAATTCTAGAACGGTTGGTAAATTTTGCCCTACCGGTACAGTGATTTTTACTCTACCGGCACGGTAATTTTTATTTTTATCAGGATAAAATTTCTGTAACGTAGAATAAAATTTGATCATCATATGTTAATTTTTACTAAATTTCGGGATAGAAATGAAACGATGACTCATGATACACTTTTATAGAACGGTAGGATAAATTCTCCGTGTAGGATAAAAGAAAAATTTAATTTGAGACAAATAAAAATTCTGTCAAGATGAATGAAATTTTAAAGTTGTATCGGTATGGTCCTCGATTACGATCTTCACGTTGTAATTTTTAGTTTTACCTTCTCTCCGTGTAAAATAAGGTATTATTGTTTGAGTGATTAACAGCACTTACCTCATCAGACGACTAAGAGCAGTACATCGAATCAGATCGATGATCCACCCAATAATCATATTGTATCAATTCATCTATCCATTTCTCCATTCGTGGACACATGTCTCTTCTATTAAAAGCGATATTGTGAGCTTTCAAATCCGTCATGATCGTGAACGAAACATTTCGTAGATAAGCATGAAAATGTCTCAATGCGTGGATAATGGTTAGCGTCTCTAACTCATACTTTTCATAGCAGGCTTCGGCCTCAGTGATTTTCTTCGAAAAATACGAAATTGGCCGAAACGAGCAGTCATTCTGCTTTTGTTTCAAAGTGGCGCAGAATCCGTGCGAGCATGCACTCGTATGAAGCTCTGTTTCCGCACAAGGATTGTAAATACTCAACACAGGTGCCTCGAAGAGCCTTTCCTTCAATATTTCAAAAGCATTAACTTGTTTCCTTCCGATTTTAAAAACTTCAGAGTAAAAAAGATTTGACAAAGGCAGTGCCACAAGAGAATACTCGGGAATGAATTTACTATAGCGTGAAATGTTCTTCAAAAATTTCGCAACACTCTGAATATCTCGCGGAAGAGGAAAATCCCTGATCACCATAACATCGGATGGATTAGGCTTTATTCCTTGTTCTGAGATCAAATACTGCCAGAACTTGACTTCTTGTAACAATATTTCACATTTATCTACACAGAGTTCCAACAAATTAGCATTCAATACCGGGAGTAAACCCTTCAAAATAGTCAGATGCTCTTCAATAGTTTCCGTTGCAATCAATAAATCGTCAATGTAAACAATGTCACCGGAATCAATGAAACTCGCCAACACGAGTGTGACAAACTCTTTGAAACACAAAGAACTCCCTCGCAGCCCAGTGGGCATTCGCACGTATTCGAAGACTCCAAACGGCGTTGTAAAGGCAGTATATCGAATCGACTCCTCGGCCATATGAATGGGAAAAAATCCATTCTTCAAACGAAGTTTACTGAAATATTTCTTATTCTGCCAGTGACCAGCTGGATCTTCGATTAGACGAGTTGGTTCATGGTTCGTTATCCTTTCATTCAAATGACTATAATCGATACATAATCGTAAACTCCCATTAATTACCTTAACCAAACTCATTGGGGACACGTAACGTGAAGAACTCCGATGGATGATACTCTTTCTTTCCAAACAATTCAAAATTTTCCGCAAGTTATCCGTCTCGTCAACCGATAATTTTCTTGAACCATAATAAAACGGTTTCAGATCTTCAAATTTTAGTTTAAATTCCATATCAATATCTGCGACAGCAGGCCTCACCGGCTTGAAATATTCTTCCCTCAATAATTCCTTAACAATGTGTTGAATTTCATCCGATAACTGAGGATTGATAGTGATTGACTCAGAGACATGGCTCAGAGAGTCATGTCCACCGATGCACATTGGGCTACCGACTTGCATTCTAGGAATTCGTATTAATCCGAATCCAAAACTGATTATCAGATTTCGGCCCATAATAACTGCCGGTTTCATCGTTGTATTTGGAACGACAAATAAAATTTGATCCTTTCTGAATACCCCGTCGATTATTACGTTCACTCTCAACAGACCATATATAGTAATCTTCGACCCATTAACTCCGACGAAATCGTTCTTGTACGAACCTGCTTTTTCCATCACCTGTATGGGAGTAAATCTCTTTTTAATAAAACTCATTCCACTACCTGTGTCCATCAGTGTTTTCAAGTGAAACACACTATTTCCATCACTATGACTAATCAGGTAGGTAACGTTCTTATAGAATGGTACGTGATCTTCCCGTACACCTTCGACAACGGAGGCTACTGGGTGTAGGATATGGTCCTTGTGTTTGGTCCCCTCAAGATTAGCAGAGCAATCACTTCCAAATGCAGGCATTAATTCTTGAGTGATACCTTGCATCGAGCCATGATTATGAAGAATCTTTTCTAAACTTGAGGTGATTGATTTCGTCATCTGCATCCACTCTGCAGCCTTTCTTCCTGCTTCATTAGTAATTGATGGATTGGTACAATCATTGCCAAGCTGACACGTTACCCAAAATTGTTCAATCATCTCTACTAAACTCCGAAACGTGCTGCTAATTTCTTTCTGAGTGTTGTTTTCAGGATTTCCTCTAGTCATTTTCAATGATTGAGGAAACTGGTCTTCACGGTCACCAAACGCCAAATCTCCCTTTGACAATTCGTTCTCTCGGTATATCGAGTCCATTTTCATTCGCAGAAGTTTGAGACGACAATCGGTGATATTCTCAGCAAGCTGTTTTCTGACTGGTTTAAGTGTCGCTTATTTACACCTTTATGTTCTTATTTATTATGTTCTGCCGTGCAACTGAATAATTTCAACTTCACTATTGGCAATTTCTGTGGATCTATTGTTGAAGGCAAACGTTTTTTTTATCTTTGCTAAGTTAATTACAGTCATATATTCCGTCGATTGTTCTTCACTAATTTGTATTATTATTGTTTATACTTTTTTAAACCTAATTAACGATTTTTCAACCGCTCCAAATATCACAAATTACCACAAATGACAGATTTAAGTTATTTGTTGATGAAGATGGGTGTTTTTTTGTATATAAATGGAACATATTAGATAACGTGGTGAATGAAATTTTGTTTAAAAATTTTTTATTACGTTGCAATATTTACTCCGGCTAGACATATTTACTTGTGATATTATATTTTGTTGATTATTGTAAATGAATAAATTTGGCCCCGAGAAGGAGTGGTTTCCGCACTCGAAATATTGGCTACTAGTTTTCAATTAAATGGCGTTAGTTATTGCTGGTTATGACCACAGAATGGCCCACGGAGTTTTATTTTTTAAATAAATAAATGATTAAAAGCTCAGAGCCATAATAGCCATGTTTCATCATCAGAATTACTGTCAAATTCCACAATTATCTATCCCGCTCACTCACAAAAATATATGATAACGTTCATCGTTTTGTTATTTTAGCCATAATGGTACTTTATGATAGACGAAATGACACTTGATAAAAAGTTTTGATTTTTAGCTTAATATATCGATTTCGTGTCGAATAAACCGTTCGTTCTAGTACATTGAAGAGCTTGTCCGCAACTGAAGTCAATCCAATACATCTTTAGACTTTATCCCCATCTTATTGGATTTATGCGCATATCTAAACACAAAGTATCTCCATGGAAGACTGTCATCGGCTTTCAATAGAGGGAGACTTTGACAAGCATTATTTCCATGGGGTTGAATATGTCAAATTTGACCTTTTAGGGTCTCATTGTCCGGTATAAAATTAGCCGCGAGTGACTCACTGGTCTGGGAAGATCGCTGAAGTGTAAATGTGAATAGATTCCCGAATTGAATAGCTTTCGACATCCTGACATATTCCAATGTTTCAATTTGTCATGCTGTATTTGGGAGAAAATGCTAATGAACACAATCAACTAAACTCCGGCTCCACCAAGTTCTGCAGTGTTCTCTATTTGGATAGCGGATTCTGATATCTAGCGTCTCCTACGGAGATAAAACTTCGGAGATGACGTCAAAGATTTCAATGCTGGGTACAGAAATGTGTGTGACTGCTCAGTAGAAAATGTCTTTTATACATTCCTATCCATTGTGCTTTCCAAGGGAGGATACCCACAACTTCATACAAAGGGTGTCACTACTGAAAGCACACACTGTGTGGGTGTATCGGGAGGGGGGGGGGGATATTCGAAGACGAAAACTAATAAAATTTCTTTCTCCCACGGTTTGTTAATGAGTTATCAATAGAAAAAAGGACACACATAGAAAAACCTAAACATACATTACGTTTAAGGTATATAAACCCAAGACAATCGGAGCCAAAAATTAGTCCCCATGGATTTCCGGAAAAAATGTAAATAACTTAATTTATTTCATTCTCATAAGTTATTGAGTTTTTCTATTCTCTAAAAACTAAACTGAAAAGTTGCTAAAATAATCGAGACTTGAAGCACAATATCATTTTTTATTAAAACAGAAAATATAGTTTCCGCAAAAACTGAGGAAAATACACAAATTCCAAAATTTACTTTATATTATATTTCTATTTTATTTTGATCTTGCTTTCAGAATTTAAGTGAAAAGGAAATTATTGAATCCTGATACTTCTCTTACTCACAAAGAATATATTAGTGATTTGATTTTTATTATTGTGAATTTCTTGATCGGAAATATCACTAAAACTTAATAATGATATCACGCATCTAAGCTTATAATTGAACATTGATATTGTCTGCATGATATTTTTTGGCAATTGTAATTTTTCAATCACACAGATTTTTGTTATGTACTACATTTTCTCCGATGACGCCAGGCAATTTACAAATTTGCACTCATAAATTTTTCTTTTAATCAATCACTCTCGATGCAATTATACTGATAAATCTCTGGTCAATCAGGTTTTCGAATTTATCTGAATACAAATTAAACTAAATTGCATTTACATTTTCCAAAAAATTACGGAGTCATAATAATTTCCTCTATTTTATTCCGTTTTACTACTTAAAACATTTTCAATTCGTTCTTCCAACTTACAGTAACTGTGATATTTCAGGATTATTATTTCAGGACTAAAAACTAAACTTATCAAACCTAGGACAGTCTTCAGGGCGTCAATATTACGTAACAATGACGAAGAACGAGAAAAATATTTAAAATCAATTCTCCATTCAGGAAAGACGATAGTTGACGAACAATTAAACAACAAATATCAAATCCAATAGATTATTACCAAGTTATTGAAAGTACTGAGGAAGCTCTTGTGCACCGAAATAATGACAAACACTTCCAGATAATTAAAAAAAGTCATTGGAATGTTTGAAGAATTACAAACAGAATAACTCTAAAACTTTTAATTAATTTTTAGTTCGAAAGTTGAACAAATCGATCAAATTACTCTTACGTTCATTCCAGCAGATGATTGTGGAAACTTTTCGTTCATAATTGATTTCAAGAATGATCGAATTCAAGACAAACCGAATTTCAAAATTTCTCAATCGAAATCAATGCCAATGAAAAATCCATTATCTTGACGTCTCAACGCACTGTACAGACCCTAAAAATTAAAGACTAAAGAAAGTTTCCATAATCTCCGATAAATTAATGATCCCACTAAGTACAAGAAATTCATCAAAACCTCACCACCCCTGGAATACTTTTAATGGGAAATCTGTAGGAGTACTCACCCCTGTCTCAACGCAATGTACAAACTCCAAAAATTAAAGACTAAAGAAAGTTTGCATAATCTCTGATAAATTAATGATCCTTCTAGCTACAAATAATTCGTCAAAACCTCCCCACTCCTGGAATACTTTCAATTTTCCCAATGAGAGATCAGTAAAACCAAAACCCAGTATTGTCTTCCATACCAGAAATTTTCAATAACCCCTCTTCAATCATCACTATCACTGGCCGTGGGTTCCCTGCTCTCCTCCCCCCTGCTCCCCTCAGTGCCCCTATCAGCAGAGCCCCACCCAGGTAGCCACCTATTGACAAACCACCAATGATACGAGAACCTCCCATGGCACTCGGGCCTCTCAGCCCTAGCAAACTGACAAATTCCCCCCTGACCCCTGATGCAAGAGTCATCACAAGTGTGTCTATCCACAACATTGCTAACATCACAAACTGAATTGGCAGAAGCTTGTGCCCTGGCTTCCCCGGAGGGTCCAGGCTCCCCAGCAGCCGCCTCCGCTCCACCCTCAGCCGCCCCCTCCCCCCCGCCCCCGCCATTCCTCTCAATTCTCCCCACATAAACACTGGGATTAGCATAAAGTGGATTATTAACACTTCCAATTCTGTCAATTCTTCCTATATAAATAGCTGAATTGGAGGATGACAAGAGTCTACCCCTGCAGCTGCAATTTCCGGGATTTCTGCACTGGCACCTCAAGCTCTCCACCAAACCTCTTGCATTAATCGGAAATCTGTAGGAATACTCACCCCTGCAGAAAGCACACCTGCAATTTCTCGATACCTGATAGATGTAATGCCTCGAATTGGCCCCATAATTACCCGAATTAAATGAATTGCACTGCTGACAAATGTGATACCTTATGAAAGGCAATCTCATACAAAATTGACACATGCACTGGCCAAATTGATAGACAAAACGTCCATTAGTTGCCATTGCAACGTTATCAGTGGAGAAACAATTTCGTGACAAGTTTCCCAGACGATTGAGGCAGCTTGAGTTTTGAAAGTAGATGTCTCTCGAGTTTCTCTCAAACGCGAGAATGGGATTGATGTTCCTGGTGACTTGGTTACCCCTCGACCAGGGGCGATTGTCAATCCTCTCGTACATGTGATCGTTTTGGTCGTTCCTCCTGACGTCCAGGATCTCGTTCACCTCCTCGTCATTGTCCAGGCGTTCGTAGATGTTCTCCTCGGGTTCGTTTTGCCTTCGCGATTGATTGTAATTGTGGACTAGATCCACCGGATTCTGGTAGTGGGGGTTGAGGTTTGGCGGACGATTCTGGTAGATCCTTTGGTGGTTTCGGGGGTTTTGGTAATTGTTCTCGGGCTCTGGGTTTCTGTTGTTCATGGTGGCAACCACTAGCTCACCGTTCTCGTAGCGCTGACAGACACATCGGGGACCCTCGCAGTTGTGGCGTGGGTGGTTTGAATCGTGATTCTGAGAGTTGGGACCGCTGGGCACGGACTCACCTGGGGTCTCTTCTGGTGGTCCGGGCTGGGGATCTTTGGGGTGCCCAGCGGTTTGCAAACCTCATATTGATGACGCGGGCAATTGGGGCTTGTCGATTATAGCGACACCGGCGTAACTACGACCGATGGACATCGAGCTGGGGAGGGTTGTCCAGGTGTTTGTTCGGGGTGAGTAGACCTCCACTGAGGACAGGTTTGAGGTGCCATCGTCACCCCCTACTACGTACAGGAGACTGTTCAGAGTTACCACACCTGGGGAATTGTAATTTTTATTTAGCTGGGAATTGTCAGTACTTCTTATTTTTTTTATCGTCAATGTCCCAGTAACTATTCACTTGATAGAATTTCAAATTTACCCAGGAAGGGCGAACAAATTGTCTCAGTGCAAAGGAAATTTTCTATTCCTTCAGCCAGAAAAAATCATCGTAATCGCGCAATCACAAACATTCAAAATCAAATGATAAAGTGTCCGCGAAAGGGGCCCTTCCTTTCATGAGATGAGGGACATGTGACTTTCCATGTTTATGCACAATTATTTATTAAAAAACACTAATTATCATGATTAAAGATGTCTAGCCATTTTCAGCAAATCACATTTTTTCATGTTCAAGAAAAATTCTATAATTTTCCTGGCTTATAGCAGAACATATGAAACTAAATTCTTTGATGTTAAAAATAAATTAATCGCAATAGTCTCGCCAGAAATAAACACACAATTTTTTCTTTATACACGGGCTCTTATGGGATTTATGTTGAAATTTATAATTCACTTACTATAAGACTCTAAAAATAGAAATAAAAATAGAAGGTAATGTGCAAAACTATACTGAATCGAATGGCCAGAGAAAAATTTGGAGTACCCGGGCAAAAAGAGGAAATATTTGAAAGATTCTATCCCATATAAGCGCATGTTAGCGCATGCGTTTGGTGCATTTTGTCCACTGCATTTCGAAATATTGAACGTTGGTTGGTGGATTGCAATTTTTATCAAGATAAAGGGAATAACTCCATCTCTCAGTTGGAAAAAATCAGTTTTTTTGTGAATACTTGTGATTTTGGATAAACATCCTTAATATAAGTGAATTATAATTCTGGAGTTTTTACTTTCTTTTTTACATCTTTACACTTTCGTAGTGATAGCCGCTCGCATTTGTATATTTTACACAAACTTACCAGCATTTCGTCGACATAGGGCCATATCAGCAATGGATGACCATTGATTAGTCTCTGGATTGTACGCCTCAACGCTTTTTCTGACAAGTGGTCCATCATGTCCACCAACAGCATAAAGTATCCCATCGAGAACCCCAACTCCAGCCCCACTCCTCCTCGCTGACATCTCAGCTACTGGTTTCCACTTATCCTTCTCTGGATTATAGCACTCAACACTGGATAGACACTGTCGAGAAACTCCATCATACCCCCCGACAGCGTAGAGAAGTCCTTTAACAACTCCAACACCAACTGAACTTCGTCGCGTCAACATCGGCGATATCATTCGCCACTCGTGGGTCCTTGGGTCGTAAACTTCAGCTGAATTGAGGCCACTGGTGCCGTCAAAACCGCCCACTGCGTAAATACAGTTACCGAGGACTGCTACACCCAGTGTTGAACGTCTTGCCTCCATACCGGCACACGCTGACCACTGATCAGCTGCTCCATCGTAAACGTCGACTGTGCGGACTCGCAAGGAACCGTTGAACCCTCCCACTGCATAAACACGACCTGCTAGGACTGATAAACCTGGGGAACACGACATCACAGTACTTATTTGCGGAGCCAAATTATCATGCGCTAGTGGAAAAAATTGAACTTTCATGGACATTTGACCAGCAATTTTTAGGAGTGACATTGAATTCTATTGAGGTTTTGAAAATTCAATAAAAGTCCAAATTTTTGATAATAGGAGGACGAATTCTCCAACATACTTGAACTTTCAATTAAAACATGAATATTCAGTGGCCAATTATGATGATTTTTCGATTAATCAAAAATTCAAGACTATTTACCTCAATTTCCCTCATTTCTATTATTTTTTATGGAATAATTGAATTGAAATTTCCTATTTTCATTGATTTTTCCATACAAATTTTGAGTCTTCAATGACGAAGATCCTTGAAATTTCAGTGGAACTGTGATGTGATAAAAATTTCCAAGAATTGTACCGAAAATTTCAAGCGAAAATTTTCAACAGAGTGGCTTGAACACGAACACTTCACGATGCAGTGAGAATCCTTTGCTCAAGATATCGTTCATTTGTGTCAGGAGATGAGAAAAAGACTAAAAACACTAAAATCTTCGACTCAGTGAATCATGAATGCGGGATTTTCATATTGAATGAATACAGAATTCTTGCAAACCAAAACCTCTTTATTATTTATTCATTCATTAAATTTATTCATAAAATTAATGAATAAATAAATACGCAAAGATCGTAAATAATATATAGAAACCGCTAGCCAATTCATGCGCACGCGAAGCGCATCCTTTCCTAGTCTTCTTAAAAAAGTTATCAACAGTCAATCAATAAACATATTATTGTTAACTTTTTACTTACCAGCTCGACATCTACGTGTCGGCAGTTCAGCCACTTGATACCATTTTTCCTCTTTGAAATCATAGCACTCGACACTTCTGATTGCCTTTGGTGCCTGTCCCCCAACAACCAGGAGAACTTTGGGCAATCCCCTTGGCTGTCTGGGCTTAGTCCTTGGGGTTTTGAATAGAGACTTCTGTTCCCCCTTCAGCAGATGATACTTCAATGCCTCGATCAGGAAATCTTTGCCTAAAATCCAGTGTCAAAGGTGAAAATAAATTTTCGACTAGACTTTGAGTCTGATTTTTTTACTAGTTTACATTGCAAATTAGCTTTGAGAAGGGGTTCTTCCTCTACCCGCTGCACCAAGTATTCCTGGGAGAGTAAAGGCAGTCTGACGTGCTCCATCAGCTGGGCCAAGTGACTCTGGCGTGTTTCCATGTCGGAGTGGACCCAGGAAATAACACATTCGAATACTTTTTCCTCGGATGGCACTGTCAATCTATCACTGCAGATCAATTTAGCCACTTGTTGAGGCGCCAGAGTCAGGAATTCTTCACCTTCCACTACTTCTCTACAATTCGAACAGAATTTTGTTGATGAACAAGTGGATAATTGCATTGTTTACGACTGATTGTGAGGACAACCTTTCTCGCTAGTGAATTGATCGAAAGAATTTTATGTTCAACTACTCAGAATAATAATTTTTATACGATATGAAAAAAGTGAAACACGCAGGGGTTGCAGCCTATCCGACAGAATATGTGTGAACGTTACTTTTTGTGTCATTAGTCTGGTTTTTTTTATTTCTACCAATTCCATTGGTAGTAAGCTTCCGAATGGATCTGTAGCAATTCTCTATCCTTGTCACAGGTGTGGCACCGTAACCACATACTACCGGGTATCTACAGAAGAATATTCAACCTTTTAATGAAAAAGATTTATACAAAAGGTTAAATATCTCCGAAATTGCTCGGCCGGTTGCGCCTATCCAAAATACTAACCTTTAGTATTATAAGAGCTAGAACCATACCAAATTTCAAATTGCTATCTCCTTTTTTCTCAGGTTATCGTGCGTAAAAGATTTTTCATGAAAAACGGAAAGACGGCAATATCTCCAAACTGCGTATTAAAGAGTCTATATATTCTGATTGACTTACATAGACGCCATCGGGACGAGTATTTAAAAAAATTGAAATCGGTGCAGTAGTTTTTGAGATATTGAGAAAAAACGAAATTTAAACCAGTTGTTATATCTCAGGAACTACTGGACCGATCGGGCTGAAACAGCGCGCCAAAGTTGAGCTCAATAATAACTACAATGAGCCAGAAATTCAGATTTTTATCTACAAATTTCACCGTATTTATGTTGAATTTTCTAAAAATTAATCACCAAAAACCCAAGTTGCCGGACACATACGTACATGGCCCTAAAAATATAATTTCTTCACGTCTCATATCATTCTAGACCATTTGCAATCAAAATTAGAAAATCGATAAATCGGCGAAAAACAAAGCTTCCATTCGCAAGCAAAACGAGTAAACCGAAATAATTAAATTTTTCTATGATTTAATTGAGGTAATCGAAAAAAATACCTAGTTTTATTCGATGGAATCTACCGCACATTTTGAAAAATGAAAAGTTTGAAACGGACGAAAATCGTGCTGCGAGTACGGCGTTTTCACCTGGCGTACGGGGTAAAATGGTTTTGGTATGAAACCTCTCTTGGCTTTTTAGGTACCCTATCATATATCAAAAGTCGCTCGATAGTTATTTTCATCAACCGAAGCCTCTCAGTTTCACCAGGGCCGCCCTTAATGACTGATAGAATCCCACTTACGAAAAATGCTGTTCTATATAACTGTCAGCATGTGCCAGCAGCTCCAAGCATCCATGGAGATCAGCAAACGCTCGAATTCCCAGACAGTTTGACGGATGCAGTTGTGCTTGGAGGAAATCACAGCATGCATCCCTCACATCAGTCAGCTGCAGTAGATTCGCTGCTGGGAGTAAAACCTGTACGTTCTCCTCAGTGACGTGCACCTCGGCCGTGTATACATAATCAACTAGTAATTCCAAGGCCGCGTAGTCGACACCTTGGAGCTTTATTCGACGCTGATCGCGCTCCTCAAAACTTGTGAACATTGCGTAGAAATATGGACTGCATGCTGCAAGTACCATTTTGTGGGCTGGCACGTCTACCCCACCGTCGGCCTCCAAGATTACGTCGCATAGTAAATTTTGTCTGAGTGAAGAGGAGAGAAATATATTTGATTCGTACTCAAACGAAATGCACGGGGAGAAATGTTCAGTAAAAATTACGAAACGCTCTGGGAAAATTCCGTGACAGTTCTGTAAGATTTCCTGTAACCACACTTCCTGTCGCTTCGGCATTACGGAAAAGATACGTAATTTTTATTGAATATTTCTCCGTGTGTTTAGTCTGTATCATTTTTTACCGAATTTATGCGTAATTTGAACGTACAATAGAAAATATTCTACAAAAAAAATCAATAGAATTCGTTGTTTAATGACTTTAGTGAGATATTTTAAGAAAACGCGCTTTTCTGAAGATTTTTCCTCGTGTTTTTCATACATTAAGATAAAAATCGACATAATATCACAAAAATCATTTCTTGAGCGAAAAACATCGCATATATATTTGATCAATTTATGGTAAATTTCAGACTAGGAATCGGCACTTTTTGAGCTAAGAAGGAAATTACTGAATGAAATGGTGATGTATTTTTTTCGAAATGAAATAATATTCCTTAAAAGACAAGAATAGTTCGACAGAAGGAAAAGAAGATATTGCTTCCCTTCGAACTCAAAGCGATTTAGCATAAGCGGCGGTTATATTTTTTTAATATCTGGAGGTTTTCCTCTGCATAAACTCTCTATTTATTCAATATGAAAGTCTCTGATTCATGATTCACTGAATCGAAGCTTATGATATTTTCAGTCATTTTCTCATCTTCTGACACGAAAAAACCGATTTCTTGCGGCAAGAAATTCTCTCTTTATCATGAAATGTTCATGCTCAAGTCGTGAGAACTTCATCGAAATCTGACATTGTCTGACACATTATCCTGAATTCTTATTCCACGAAATTTATCCTCAAGAGATGAGATATTTGGCGCAAGAAATTATACTGTTAGAAAATTACTCTTGAAATTTCAAGTAAAAAATGTTGAAATTGTTAACAACGAATAATTTACATGGAATTTCCATTGATCTTGTTATTAATAAATCAGGCAATGTTCTTGAATATTCAATCTGTTGCTTAATTTTCGGGATAGGTTTGAAAATCCAAATTGTTATTGAAAATTCAATGATCATTCATAATAAAAAACCTAATTTTATTGAATTTCCGAGATGAATCAGGAATTCCATGAGCAATTTAGTCCGAAATTGAATTCAAGTTCAGAGTATTAAAAATTCAAATGCATCTGTTACTTAAATTTCAAAAAATTTCCAACAGTCTAGTTTTGTGACATTTTGACGATATTTCTCTCAGTGTACGTGTCATTCTTTTTTGCGTACGAATTGCGAGAAAAATTTCAATGGTAATTTTAACTACAGGGGAATTGTCAAAGAAATTATATTTACATTAACAATAAACTTTGTAGATTAAACTACGATTCGCCGTTCGATTTACCATGTCAAATAGTGTTATCAACATTATGATGTAATTTTCACTTTAATGTAATAGTTCAATCTACAATGTTTACTGTTACCGTAACTATTATTTTTTGACAATTCCCTTGTAGTTGAAATTACCATTGAAATTTCTCTCAGTGTATTATTGTTGAATTCCTACATTCAAATTGTTCCAATATAATTATTCAATCATTCACGATCCACAGGCTCAGTGAAAAAATTCTGTGGATCGATTAATTAACAGACATGCAATAACAACTTGTCAACTCACTTTCTCATTGCATTTATCACATCGAAAGCACGATTTGTATGATGATGATTTCTGTAAGGTGGTTTGTCCTTGCCACTCTCCCTCGGGATATGTTTTTGTGAGCTCTCGTCCAGTGAATTTTGACTGGCGTAGCGGAGCAACAGACAGCTGGTGAAGCATCAACCATGAGCATTAATAGGTTCAACGATTAATGACATTTTCATCGAGTAAAAGCAGTTATAATTATGCATATTTGTTCAATAACCTTCCAACATTGTCGCCGTTATCTCCACTATTTCCAGTAGGTATATTCTGCTGCGGTGGATTTTGCGGTGCCGCAGGCTCCATTGCTTTCTACCTCAGAACAATCAACCAAATTTTCCCCCAAACATTCACGTAAATATCGACTTACAATTTTTTTAGACTAAATTGTTGATGTTTGGGGCGTCAGCTGAGCACCTGTCACTCCGTTTTCTTGATTATTAAAACCTCGAGGAAATACTCGCGAAATAGCGATCGAATGGAATTTAAAACATTTATGAGGAAGGGAATTATTTGAAGGATTCATTAATTAACATCTCCCCTTTTTCTTCACTAAAATTCAGACTAATTGAGGCGTAATATCACTTGACAGAGCGAAAAATACGCTCAATGCTCAGTAGCAATATCAACGTCCTCGAATTCTGTGGTCACGTATGCGACAGATGCTACGAATTTATAAATAACGACTGATTTGGCCGATGAGGTAACGATAAACTGTAATTGAGGTTTTTAATTTATTCGTTTTTCATGTTTTTTATTGAGACAACATTACACGCACTATATTGACTGTATTTGTCCTCCTGTTGTGCCTCCTCTAACAGCGCTGGTGGCTGTCATTGGTAGTTGACAAGACTGTCACAAGATGGGAGACAGTGATGGAGCTGGTGTGTGGCGCCTCTTTTTTTGTTTCTTGTACCACGAAAATAAAATCGTGGGAGATGTATCGGCCGTGTAGTGGATTCTAAAGATGGCCGAGTCGCAGTTTCAAGTTGTGAACTTTTTATTTCTGTGAATTTCCTGTTATGCGAAAGGTATTGCTAGCCCAGTGCTTTTTGGAATTTTTCGGCGGTAATGAATTGGTTTCTTTGGGGAAGCTATCGATCAATTATTACGAGAAATATTTTATTCATTCATCCGTGGATCGGGCATTGTTCTATAAAAATGTATCATGCGTTAGTTTGTACTCATTTCTATTTTGAAGTTCTGTGAAAATTGCAGTTGAGACAATAAATTCAGGAAAATATTTTATCTCATCAGCTGAATCTGTTGAAAAGTCAAGTAAATATGATATGAAATTTATAAACGATCCGATCTTAGAGTGAATTCTTAGGTGAATTCTCATTTACAACAGAGGAAAATTTCCTCCTTTTTTCATTTTATTCTGAAATCAGAAATACCTGTAATCCCAAATCGGGAATAAAATATTCTAGATTCCGAAATATTTCATTCTCAATTTGGAATTTTTTTCCGTGGACTCTCCTGTATAAGCGAGTGAAATAGAAAATGAAGGGAAATAAATGAACAATACCTCTTGTCATGACTCTTCATTTTATTCTTGCGATATTCAATGAAATTGCTATTTTCAGGTCAATGTGGTCACAAGAGTAAAAATTCAAATGCAGCTATTACTTAAATTTCCTAAATTTCCAAGTGCGGAGTCAAGATGACTCATAATAAACATTTATTGAAAAAGTCAATGGAATTCGATTTTTCTATACAACTTGTTCTATTGTTTCTATATTTTCCAAGTTTTTTTGGTGGATTATCTTGATGAAAAGAAAAGAAAAATAGAATGAAAAAACTTAGAAAATTTGAGACGAGGAAATTCTGTCGAAAATATCTCAATAGAATAAGTTGTATGGAAAAGCCGAATTCTGTTGACTTATTCTATGGAATCATTTTCTATTGATCATTTCAATACAACCGGCCAAAAACAAATATAAAGTTCAATAGAAATTCAATAGAATTGTCTACCGAAATCACTCGGTTTTTCTATTATTTTTTTTCGTGTGACTAGCAACGATTGGAATTGCGGGAAGGACTATTCTGAAATTGGAAATATTTTATGCTGAAATCGATACTAAAATATTCTGGATTTCGAAAAATTTCCTTCTCAATTTGGAAATTTTTTCTGCCGTGGATTCTCCTGTAAAAGTGAGTGGAACCGAAAAACTAAGGGAAATAAATGAACAATTCCTCTTCTCAAGACTCTTTATTTTATTCATCATTCATTTTGTTTAAATATCATATTTTTATGTCAGTCGAGTGGGTGTCCGAATTGCCGGGCAAGCACGAAAAAATAGAGCACTGTGACATTATTTTGCGTTTTAATGAATAACACAGTTAGTACATGCCTTACATACATTCCCCATTGTGATGCATTCGCACACTACTCTCTCCCTTCCACACACACATTTTCAGTGTATATACACAGATACTCGTTTTAAATATGGATATCACGTACACATTACCAGCATTCTTACGAAAAATACACTCATGAGATAAAATAGTCAGAAGAAAAAAAATGTCTTTATTTATGCTATAGCCCTAAACGTTTTGCGGCTGCAAATAAATTCCACGGCGGCCCGTATTAACGTTTAGAATGGCCATAAAATTAATCTAACGAATGTAATACCGTACTCCCTCTTCCTTCTTTCCCATCGCTGCTTGCAATGCAGAGAGGGTGGAGATCGTAAGTATCTGAGCAAAACCGAGCGCCTTTTACACCTTTCATGTATTTATTCACATAGAAACTCATCGTTAAAAAGTGATGGGCTAAAAGTAGACCACGATATCTTGCAAAAGTCTTTTATTATTGCTGCGCTTGAGTGATATCAGAAATTGCGTTTCATAAAAAATTACAACTACTATGCATGAAACGATTATTGCATTCATAAAATTATGACAGAATCATTTCTTTTAGGTGTTGCATTTGGTAGTCAGCAGAATTTTCAATTTATTTCACAGCTTCGTCTCTCAATTATTTCGCGATACATGAGAGAATGCAGTAGTCAGGAGATGGAGAATTGGAAGCCTTGATGTCTCGTGAATCAATAAAATTGAGAATAATCTGGGAACATGTGAGCTCCAGACAGATATTGTGGAAAATTAATCTATTGATATGAAACTTCCTTACTGCTGCATTCGAGTGATGTTGGAAATTAAGGTCCATAAAAAAATACAATTATTATAGACGAAACGGTTATTGTATGATTGAAATTATTAAAAAATTATCTCTTTCAACGATTCACACTTTTTTCAATCTTCTCGCAATATTGGAGAATGTAATGTTCTGTAGAATGTGATTGAGAATTGTATAAATCATCTCCTGATCTACCTTGATGTTTTGATTTAATCGGTTTAGGAGAAGACGCGGTGAATGGGACACTAGATTTTGAAAAATGTTACAAGCATACATTATAACAAAGAAAATGATTTAGCGTCGATTCGATGTGAATTTCAGTCGGCAGAGGGTAAAATGGATAGCTTGTTTGCCATAATTTGCAAGAATTGTTTTTTTCATTATTTTTTTTCCTAAATTTTATCAAATAATCTTTGGAATCACTAACAGCCGTTCTCATCTGTTTATTGGTTCAATTTCCAAAAGAATTGAAATGTTTCATAGATATCACAATGATTTCCAAATGGAATCGATTTCCAAAATGATTTCCAATGATTTCCAACGATTTCATGGAATGGAAATCGATGATTTCCCTGATTTTGTTTGGCGAAAAAACACTGGCATATTTTTCAAAAATCAAAATTTTTTCTTCTTTTTCAAATCCCGTAACGCAAATATTGATTCATCAAAACTTGTTGGTTTATTAAATTCAATACAAATGGCGAAATTGTTTTTCGATATTGTTTTATATTGAAGTAACCATGAGAAATCATTGGTAGCGGGAGTAAAACCTTTAAATTTTTTGGTAAAATATACCAAGTACACAGAACACTGACCTCGTTATCATTTTCAATGTAGGCATATGAATTAAAATATTCTCTGGCTTTCAAAGTAATCTTTATAAACACGTTGAGTTCGAAAAAGATGTTAATCCACAGTCCACAGGGTAGAATTCAGGAGCGAAGCGGTAAACCGGGTTAAGTCGATTTTAACTGTTGGCCAGTTTTTGACGAATATCTCGGAATCTAAAAGAGATACAAAAATTGTCGTCAGAACCTTTTTTGTAGAGCCAACTGAGGGTTACAAAAAAGGTCGTGAGCAAAATTTCGCTATCTCTCTTAGATTCCGAGATATTCATAAAAAAGGGTTTGGCCAAAAGGAAAAATCGAGTTAAACCGGTTTACCGCTTCGCTACTGAATTTACCTTTAGTTTTCATTGATTGCAGATGATTACCAAAGGTTGGAAATCACGAGTTACCAATTGGAAATCGCGCGATTTCTATGATTTCTAAAGTTACTAACCCCTTGGCTTAACCCCGTCTTTCATTTTCCCCTTCTCACTTGATCCGAAATATTCAAGATATCCATTTTGCCCCGTGTTCTTTTTACCCCGTCTTCCCTATAAAAAAAGTACATTTTTCGCAATTTTTCGTCATTACAAAAAGCTGCAGATCTCGACGATTAAAATTCCATGAAAGTTCCAGTCACTCGCATAAGATATGCACGATTAGAGATAAGTTTATTGATATGAAATTTTGTAAATTTGCTGATTACACCATTTTCCCCAGAATTTGGCACGGAACAAATATCAAATCCCCATGAATTAAACGTTCGGCCGATGTTTCGATAGACCGTTTTATACTAACACGTAGATGGGGAAGGGTGGGGTGGGTAAGAGGACGCGATAAGAAAAGACAAATATACAGTAGGCTGACGGCAAAGACAATTTTTTCAGTATTTTGTTTTTCATTTTTCCATTCCTCATCACTTATGTTTTCCTCGTCGAGACTAAAAAGTAAGAAAAAGCTTGAGGATTTTCATCCGCCTAAATAAACGCCGGATGTTGCATCCTCAATCGCTCATTCCATTCAGTTTCATCCATTTTATTTTTCTATCTTTTTGGCACACAAAAATGGTACATGTACGGAGCACCGGTCGATCGCTTGTTTCCAGTGTGAAAAGCGCAACACAAACTCAACGACCTTTTTTGAATTAAAGGTCAGTCCGTGTTTATATACTTTATTTTACTCTATTCCTCTTGTTTGGATTTGGATATGTGCTGTGTGTTCACCGTGTACACACGAGGCGAAGGACCGAAATAACACTGAGTGTTACGAAGTATGGGCAGTGGAGAGTGGAGAACGATGCTGTACTTGCGCCACGCGCAGCCTCTGCCAATCCTGCTGCAAAATAAAAGTATTCAGATACTGCTACGAAAACTTGAGGACTTCTTCAGTATAATTTTGGGGTATAGAGTGGGGATAAACGTCAAGGGTGTCGACACTCCGCTGCATCGTTCGAAAAAAATATAATATATACGGGGTGTCCCAAAATGAAATGTCATCCTCGTGAGGGTAATTCGGGGAGCTCATAGGGAGACCAAAGCTCTAATAACATTTTTCACTCCGACGCTTTGTTTAAGAGTTATCAAAATGAAAAAGGACCTCCTATCAAAATATTCAACAGAAAGTCAAGGGAATTCGATTTTTCACTTTCAAAGTTTTTTTCATTCAATTTTTCTATTTTTCTCATCAAGAAAATCAAACCAAAAAAAATAGAATTTGAGCTGAGGAAATTCTATCAAAAATACCTGAATTGAATAAGTCGTATAGAAAAGTATAATTTTTTTGAATTTTTCTATGGGATATTTTCTATTTAACATTTCAATAGAATCGGTTAAAAACTAATAGAAAGTTCAACAGAAATCCACTGGATTTATCTAGCGAATGCACCAGGTTTCGCTCTATATTATAAAAATCTAGATCGACTTCTGGTGATGAAAATTTGGTGCTCGAAATTAAGACTCCAATACTAAGTGTCACGAGTCAAAATAAGGGTCACAAGGGTTGCAATGAGGATCAGAATAAAGGTCTAAACAAGGGTTATGAGGGTCAAAATAAGGGTCATAGAGGTCAAAATAAGGTTCATGGGGGTCATATGCGGCTTCTCTCTGTATTATCAAAATCCAAATCGACTTCTGTTGATGAAAATTTAGTATTCGAAATTAAGACCAGGATGACTCTAAGTCAGAAGGTCAGAACGAGGATCATGGGGTTTGGCGAGCTATTAAACTTTTTCATCCGTGTTGCATACTTCCGAAACTCGAAATCTTGTTGATCACTTCAGAACAATTCTGTCCCGGCCTGTTGCAATGGTTTTTTTTTTTGATGAACATGTTTTTGCAGTGAGATTTTGGGATTTTTTTATTTGTAGTTCAATTTTTCGAGTTTGGGAAGTATGCAGTACCAATTCCCAGTCGAGAAATCGTGAGAAACCGTACAGAAAACTCAATTCCTCCCTTCCATTGAATAAAAATGAAGATTTCATTGATACATTCATTCTATCAATGTCTCAACCACTGCTCATTATTTTTCATCCTTCTGATCTCGTTTGAAACTCACCGCCTAGTATCACGTCGTCTTTGACTTCGATCTCTGGAAAATAAAGGGAGGTGAGTGTTTCAGAGTTAATGAGGTGAATGTTATCAACCGGGGCCCGAGCGTTTGAGGGGTAAAATTAATTACCGTATAGTCTTGTGGAGCCTTCGGCTTTTCCCAAGCTGTTTGACGCTATGCAGTGGTAACTACCCACGTCGTCTCGTGTGAATTTCTTTATCAGAAGGGTCATTGTAACGTGGTAACCCATTCTCTCCTCTCGAATTTCGTATTTGGGGCTGAAACGAGATCAAACGAGTAAGATTATAGAATTTAATGTGACATTTTGGCGCTCGGAATTTCATCTTCTGGCTGTTCTGTTGGTTACATTGAATATTCTAGAGGTTTATCATTAGTTGTCCAGCAGAGCGTCTGCTGAAGAAAGGGATTTGTCCCTAAATAGAATTACCCTTTACTTTATTGATTCCTGCTCACAACAGACTGGATCCATTCGAGTACTGCTAAGAAAATTTTGAAAGAGTATTTGAAAGAAAAATTAAAATTTTAGCAGAAAAAGGATTCAATAGTGAAGCGGTAAAACGGTTCAAGTCGATTTGGGCTTCAACTGAGTTTTTTAGAAATATCTCCGAATTTAAGAGAGATAACGGAATTTTCGTCATGACCTTTTTTGTAGAGCGAACTGAGGGCTACAAAAAAGGTTCCAACGAAAATTTCACTATCTCTCTTAGATTCGGAAATATTCCTCAAAAACTCAACTGGGAGATAAATCGACTTAACCCCTTTTACCACTTCGCTACTGATTTGATTTTTCAATGACGGAATTTCCTGAAATTTCAGGGGAAACTGAACGCGATAGAAATTTCTGGAATTTCTCGTGGCAAATTCAGACGAAAATTTTCAACAGTGAACTTTCCACGAAATCTCGACTTTTCTCCAACAGTGATTGTCGATAAAGAATTTCTCATTATGAGACTTTGAGCAGACCTTTGAGTAAATTTTACGTTCCGACTTTAATGCAGAATTGAAATTTCACCCAAAATTTCTATCAGTAACTCAAACGTTTCATTGACCGTAAACATCTAGATTGCCTTAATTCTCAATGAGGCCACAGCAACAGAAAAATTACGCTTCCTCAACGAATTTCCCACCGGTGATATTAAGATAGTTATCACTCTTGGAATCGCTCAAGAATGAGGAGAAAACCGATGCAAGTTTGATAGGACAAAATGTACGTTTGTGCGATATAAAGATATCTCACCCATCTAGTAGCATGCCCCTATTCTTCTCCCAAAAGTTTATCGTGTTGGGATGTGCCTCGATGGAGCACTCCAGCTGCACACTCCTGCCCAATGGTGCTCCCATCAGTTGAGTCCGCACTTCCACGGCAGGTGCAACTGTCGAGAAGGGTAAAAATGATGGAAATTAGTATTGTTACGGGGGCTGAAAAATGATTCACATATTCCCGGCATATGTATAAATCAATATAGCACGTGCATTTCAATATGCATCAGATGCTACAATATGTCGAAACGGGAAAGAATGAAATGTGAAAAATTCAGTGTCACCAGAATTTTTGCTGGAATATTTTGGTAGTATATTTTTGCTGAACGAGTTTGAAATTCATAACAATGCACTAGCAAAGCTGGTGCCATAAATTAAGACACTTTTGTCCCTGTTTTTTTTCCGAATGGAAGAATGGATGAATCCAATTGTGATTCAAAATATACTTCTGAATTCCATTTTCACTGTTAAAAATTTTTCACTGGAATTTCCGGTAAGAGTCTTGAAAATTCCAGGAATTTCAAGCAATTTTGTCAATGAAGATTCATAATTTCAGGGAAAAATTCGTCGGGACTGTAAATTTCAATTTAATTATTCTGGGGAAATTAGTGAAGAGTCCGGAAAAATCGGAGAAATTTCTCTTGAAGTTGTAGATTTCTCTGAATTTTCAGGGAATTCTTCCACAAATTTCTGGAATTCCAAGAATTTTGAAGGAATTCCCTGGAAATTCAAGAGAATTTGGCACTGAATATTCATTTTCACTTGAAAATTCATGGCTTTACTTGAATTTTCAGAGAAACTTGATATTCTATTGACGTTTTCCCGTAAAATTGAATTCCAAGTCTTTTTCCGGAAAATCAACTAAATTGTTTTAACGGTGTAGATCGAGTTCGATCATGGGATTGAATCCATCATGTTTTGTTGAAAACATTTAGTTTGAAATCAATATTCAGGGAAAAGTACAAAATTTCAGGGGTTAATGTTGGCTGCCACATTATCACATTTTTCCATTCGAAGAAAAAAATGTTCTCCCTTTACAAACCGTGAAGATTCGACATGGTGAATAATTTTCTTTCACCAAAAATATATTTGGGAATCAATACTCAAATTTCTCAATGATAATCAGTACGGACATGCTCGTGGCGGTGCACAGAATATTCTCTGTATCGGGCTTTCGAACTATTCTCGCACAAGTGTAGTTCCGAGATCAACTGGAAACTGTTCACCTCTGAATTGCCACGAGCATTTGAATTATACAGACTGTCAGTCTAGTCTGATGATGAATGAATTGTGTAAACGATGGAAGTTTGATGCTTACAATTGACTTCCAGCGTAACGCGCTTGCTGACTGATGGGGGCACTTCGTTGGTGGCAATGCACATGTACACTCCCATCTGCTGTCTGTCTACACGATGAAAGTGTAGCTTTGACTCGTTGTATTGAGTTATTCTGTGAAAGTTTGCTATTTTCCGACCTGTGGGTGATTAAAATCTTCAATTATTGCACGTTTGAATAGAATTAGAATGAGATTATTTACATCGCCATGTCATGAAATTTTGAATGAGCTTTTGAGTTTGGTTATTCTTGGATTTTCATTCATCCTGTACTTTCATGAATCTTATAATTTTCAACTTCTTTAATTTTCTGTTCTTCACAAATAGCACAATTTAGTTTTCTTGCATTTCTTCCACAAATTCTTCGAAAAATTCGAAAAAATTAGCATTTTTCACAGAAAATAAATTTATAACACTCTTTATTTTTCAACCATTACTGGTCAATATATGAAATATTTGAAATATTGTGATGTCTCCCAAGACATCACAAGACAAAACTGGAGAGGTGATCTCGGTCTCAATGAACATGGAAACCTTAGCTCTTGTCTCAGTCTCAAAATACGCAATATCGACTCCTCTCGTGATGGCTCCGAGTCAATTTATTTCATCTCGGGTTCCAGTTTTTCGTGTTGTTTACATATAGAAAACCGAGACGAGACAAAAACCGAGATTCCATATTAAAAAACACGAAAAACTTGAGACCGAGATGAGATAAATTGACTCGGAGGCATCACGAGAATCAATACTGTTTTTCGAGACTGAGACGAGGGCAATAATTGCCGTGTTCATTGAGAACGAGATCATCTCTCCAAAGTTTTGTCTCGTAAAGTGTCTCGCGGCATCACTAAACAAGCTTCGAAATAAGAGCAAGTTCAACTCAATCGTATTGTGTGATAAGCAGATTTTGAAAACTTAAAACGGCCCATTCTACTCCTCTCCCATCAATTTCAATTATTTAATTGCCTCTGAATCTCCGGGTGTATATTCAAAACCGCAACATTAGTCCTTCTCAATGAAATCCGCAACATTTTAATCAACAAATCGTTCACCCTTAATTCTCCCAATTCCGTAATTTCCGTAAATAAATTTAACGATCGATTTGTCTCGCATTGCCGGAGAATAGCGAGAATCTTCGGAGATAAAGGAGACAATCAGAGTATCGAGTTAAACGCAGTTTGGATCGAGTTTACTCATGGAGTTTACAAACGACTCGAGTCGATTGTGTTGCGAGAGATAGGAGGAGTAGAGTAACAGAAGTAGTTGAAACAACAGAGAAAATAAAAGGTACATCTGTATTTATTCAATTGTATTTCTCTCTTTCCCCTTCCCGCGAATGAATTTGAAGAGGAACAAAGAAAAATAAATAAGTTACGGCAGTGGAAAAAAAAACAAAACTTATTGAAATGCACAAGAATACGGAGAGAAGATATGTTGTTTTGCATTTGGGATTTAAGAGAATAACCGATTGTTTGAATGTATTTCTGAAACGAGTTTTACCTCCTTGTGGCATTACTTTTGTACAATGTACGTTGAGCGTTAGCCAGTAACGAGTTAGAAAACTCCTCTTCCCCATGGACTGTTTTCTCGTTATCTTTCCTTACACTTCCAGCCTCACCTCATTCCTCTCTCTCTACTCTTTTTATCCTCACTCTACATTTTCTTGTTTTTATTTGTAAACCCACCTTTATCCAGGTATCTAAGTGTCTGAAGGTGCAAAAGATCGATGAAGATAAGGAAAAAGCTTTTTTTAGAGTTAAATGAAGAAATGAAAAGAAAAAACGTTGGACAAGATTGATGCTGAGTGTAGGAGGATTTTCACAGTGACTTGAGCATAAATTTGGTCAGGCAGTCTCATTCGTCTTGGGTAATTTAATTCTTTATGATGGCTTTAGGGAGATCGTGTTCAAATAATAAATATGTCAGTTGTGAAGGTCGATAGATTCATTTTCTCTTACTTTAGAGAATGTGAAATACGCTGGTGAATTATTGATAGGAGTGATCGATACGAGAGATTTTAGGGTAACCAGACCAATATGTAGACACCGGTCTGGTTTTAGTATTCTATAAAAAATATAATAGAAATTGGATTACAAATTTACATTTTTGATAGGGGAGGGTAGGGCAAAATGGACCACTGACAGAAAATTGGTAATTTTTGTTTTTTTTTTCTTTCCTTCAAATGAAGAAAACTGAATGTGTTGACTTAAAAGTGGGTTTCTTGGATCATAACCGTCACAGGGGTTCTATACATCGTCTTTGAACCGCAATTTGATCAGATTTGCTAATCACGTCAAACGACGAATGACTTTGAAAGCCCAATATTTCCGAGACATCTGTGTGTCTAAAAGCAAAACGGATATTTTTATATTTAGTTCCCCATCAATATTAAATCTCTGTAATATTACAAGGGTTTGACCCTTACATTATTGAAGGTTTAAAATATGTTGATACAATTTTTCAAATAACATAATATTAAGAATCTGATTTTTTACGAATAATGATATATTTAAAATTTGTTAATATGAAACTGTCAATTTACTGCTAAGTGAATAATTCAAATTTCTTGAAATGGGATTTTCGATTACACAAATAATCGTTGATGTTCCTACCTTGAATTATTGATTGATAAAATAGTTGAAAATTTGAATATTTGAATTGATGATACTTGAGAAGTACTCAAGAAATTTCAAGAGTGATATTATCTAATTGAGGGCTACAAAAGTAACCGTAATAAAATATTACAAATTTGGCTATCCCTGAGCGCGATAGAAACTACTCTCCACGTTTTTTTTCTCCTATTTTCATTTCTACCAATTTCATTGGTAGTAGGCTTCCGAATAGTTCCCAATGCTTGTTTTCAAAAAATACAAACATATATTCATGTTATATGGCTTTCTCAGTTACCCTGATGTGAAAATGAAAGGTGAAATATAGTTGCGCCAATTAACTATCAAATATATCGATCTAAAGTTTGACATAAGAATGTTCCTTGACAATCCTAACTACAAGCCAAAATTTCAAAAGGTTTCCCTGACTTTTACCCACGTCATAGTGCGCAAAAGTGAATTACGCCCAAAAAAATACAAAAACGAAGATATCTCGAAAAATTTCAATGGGATGTCACGTTTCATGACATTTCTAGGCATTTTCACCCAAAATTAAGAAATCAAAAAAAATCACGATCACAAAGCTTCTATCCGGAAGCAAAAACAAAAATCATCAGTTTTTTGTCAGTGGTCTGTTTTGCCCTGCGGTCCGTTTTGCCCCATGCGCATCTAGGCATTTTGCTCATGTTATTAATAATCACGGAAATTCTTCTATCATTCCTGCGGGTATGACCGAGCTATTTTCATTTTTGGATTCGAACCTTCCGCGTCCCAAATAAACAGAAACAAGATTTCTCCTCGAAATAATCTTCTAAATCAGCAGAATCCGGAGGATGAAAGGCGGTGGAGTAGACACGAATAAAAATGCTACGGTGTTACAGTGGCGCAGTCAGAGAATACACAAGTGAAAGAACAATGCCCCGAGTTCAAGCGATTCATCAGGAATGAGAGAGCAAACAAGAAACACACCATCGATCACGAGGTCAAACGCACACACCTTCTTGCCGCGCTCGGCTGATGATAAACATTTGAAACTCTACGGAGAAAAACCTGGTGATGTATCAGAACAAATAAAACTCCGTCATTTTTAAATCAACCTC